TTTTATCTTTCTCCTGATTCAATGTTTGGTCCTATTCCCTGAACACTCACTATATTCTTTGGAATTGTCCCAGGATTCTAAGTGCAAACACATTGCTCTTTAATTGGCGTTCAGCACAGCTTTCTCACTTTAAATCACATTTCATCTGGCTTCATATTATTGTGTGTTGCACCTCAATTTTTTAATGATTCTGAAGACTTGATTTATGCCCATCTCGTCAATGTATGTGTATATAAATAGTATTTAAAAAATTAGTTGAGCTTCCTTAACATGCATTTCTAGACCAATGATCAGACAAGACATGACTTTCTTTGGATACCTTCTAATGGACATGTCGTTTTTTTATAGCAGAATGTATAAACTGTACAATCAAGAATAGGCTTGTAACAGCTTTATAGAAAGCCTGTTTCACTTCTTTGGTGCTTTCTAGGAGCAGACAGGCTATGGCAAAGTTTGATTCGTCTTGGTAATGAGTGCTGTATTGTAAATTCAATTAAACTTTGAAAATATCTTCCTCTTCCTTACGAATGCCTTGCACCATAATCTATAAATACCCTATCGGTTCTTGAATAAGGCACAAATGTACATTGTGATATTAGGAAAACTATAAATCAGTTGGCAGGTGGGAAGAATTGGTGCAAATTCAGTAACTAAGCTGATGCACTCTCCTGCAATACATTGTTATGGTAGTTGCTGCACAAATTTGCTTTTTATAATTGATGCAGTAAACAATGTAATAACAAGATATTACTGAAACCACAGATCACTTGGCAACATATTGCAATTTTGTTGAATGCTAAATGCTTTTGCTGAAATTGCTGAATGCTAACTTTGTCCACAAATTGTTTCTGATATCAGCCATGTTGTCATCAAAAACACAAATGTTCATCTCATTACTGTTCGTGGGGATAATCCTTGCATTTTCCACGAGGAGGAAAGCGTAACCCTGCAGTAATTATATCATCGCTGTAAATAGTATGTTTCAGCGAAGGAAGAAAAGGTGAAGAAATGACACTGATGAAAAGTGGAAAATCAAGCACATGTGCTTTCCTACCAGAAATATAATGTGACGTATAGCAGGGTGGAATGAATACCAGTTAGTGAATGAATCAACATACTTTAACTGAAACATGATCTATGATCAGTTACATTGGATAGGATCCAGTATATTTCAGTACTGTTAAATTAGAATATATTTCTCTTGTCATGCCTTCGAACAGCACTTCCTGATTTCATGGAAATTACAGGTTCATGTATCGCTCCAACTGGTTGGAATTAATGAATCAATTTCACTTTATTACTTTAAAAGATGGTTTATTTTTAAGTCATATTATTTATACCAATCAATACTGCTAATGAGTACAAGTGAATGGGCAACAACAGAATTAAAAATAATTTAATACAGTTAATTACCTTTTCCTGAATAACTCCAGACATTACAAACATAAGTATTGGACTTGCATTCTCAACCCTTAGTGCACAACAGCTCAGCAGCTGCACAATGGTTTGGTACAGTTCAAAAACATTTTTTTTACAGTAACTACATGAAGGTCAAACCGTTTAAACATATATTTGTTCCAGATATCTAAAGCTGCAATAAATTAAGTAAAATTAATGGTTAATCTTTGGTCTACTTTATTGATTATTTTACCTACAATCAGTATTATGAGTAAAGGATACAAATAAACTCAGTATTTGCGACACTTTATCCACACAACTAGGAAAGTGGTAAAAACATACATCTGACAAAATACAATTTGCTCTTTTTATAAACTACAAAAGTTTTAAGTCCAACCATTTTGTTGGTATGTGCAACAATGCAGCACACATTCGAAACTGCGCTCAAGTGTCAACTTTGACGATAAACTCAACACCTGGTCTGAAAGTACAACGTCTGGCCCAAAGGCAAGAGTGCTACCAATTGAGCCAAACTAGACAGCTGGGCTGACAAGTGGCAAAATATTATTTAATGTGGGCAAATACTGAGGAATGAGATTGAGAAAGGAGAATAAAAAGTGGAAATTAAGTTAATTGGTATCAGTCTACAGGTCACTACACTGGAGAGGATTGGGTCGGTGGGTGGGGTGTGCAGATACAATAACAAGAGTAAAGATCTAGCTAAAGGGATAAATTATGAATCAAGGGGAAATTATACTGAACTTCTGGAGTACAGTTTACAATTCTGGTCACAGTATTACGGTAAGAACATTGTAGCTTTGGAGAGGCTACCGTAACTAAATCTATTGCTGGAATTAGGCACTTGAATTCTGAGTAGAGGCCATAGAATCCGGGAATGTTCACACTGTAGAAAAGGCGTCAAGTATTCAAGATATTAAAGGTCTAACCGCAAACCCTACAAGGGAAATGGAGACAAGTTCAGAAACCAGATGGCCCCAATGTAACTACTTTGGAAGGAACAGAGCTACAGAGATAATACCTGGAGAGATATTATTTGAAAGGGAATTAGATAACTGGTTCACAAAGAAATCTATTGAAGGGATATGAGATGGGGTGATAAAGGCTAGATCTGTATTTGGAAAAAGAGGAAAGTTGAAAGGAGCCAGAGGAAAGCCAAGCATTGTTATTAAAATGCTAAATTGTTATTTGTGCAATGAATTTGCTGTTACAGCAGCACTTTCTGTAAATATGGCCATTCCAAGGAAATTAAATATTCTCTTCAGCTCAGATCTGTATGGGTTGACTTTTATATGTTGACTTTTATATTCTGAATACAAGGTGATTTCCCTAAATTATTGTTTCAAAATTCCTACTTGTCTTACATTTGTGGACTAGCCACAACAGGCAAAGGAGTTTGAGAACCCGGTAAAAAAAAAATCCAGTTCCACATCTGTGTGAGAATTGGGAAACTGCACACGTCAGTGAAGTTACTGGGGCGGTGATCCCGTCTCCCTCATCCCCCCAGTGAGGCCTTGTAACATTGGGTTCAGGAATGGCTAAGAATTTGTGAAAAACTGAAGGGGCGACAACAAAAGAGAAAACTATACAGAAAGAGTAAGAGTGAAAACAAACTGTGAAATATTGAGACCTGCACAATGTCATCTCAACAACAACAAGATTGCATTTATAGAGCGCCTTTCACTTCGGGAGGACGTCCCAAAGCGCTGGACAGTTGGGTCTCATAACAGTTATGGGTAACACAATACATTACCGGTGTTTTAAATTTGGAAATCATGTTATCACTAAGAGAATCACAGAAATTTCCAGTGCAGAAGGAGGCCTTTTTGGCCCATCAAGTCTGCTCTACCTCTCAGAGCAAGCTGCTCATTCAATTCCAATATTATAATTTTAATGTATCACAATATTATTCTAAATACTGTACATACAAATTAATTAATGTAATTCTAAATACTGTACATACAAATTAATTAATGCTCTTCAATTAATGTAATACACATTTTACTTTATTCTGCAAATATAACTATGAAAATGTGAAGGGTGGGCTTATAAGAGAAGCCATTTTATAATGGGAATCATACTGGTATTTTTCGTTATCCTATGCAATCAGTTAGACAGAATTGAAATTGTTTTGTATTTTCCTAGCCCTATATATTTTTCTATGGATTCCTATGTGACTTAGTTTCCTAAATTCATTTTCCAATTGCTTCCCCATAACTATAATTTAGATAGAAGTTTCATCAAATAATGCATTGAAGAGTTAAATAAAATGTTTCGTTCATGTGCGTGAATAAAAATAAAGCAATTAATTACTTGCTGAAAGTTATCACTCACATAAGTGCCATCCAGTAAGATTCCGACATTCTCACTTGGTGACATTTTCTAACAGATTTTTAAAAAATTATTTAAATATTTCAGGTAATTTTCATTTCAGGAATAGGAAAAATCAAGCAGTAGCATTTTTCATTTCTTTAAAAAGATTGCACCATTAGTGTGCCAGTGAAATCAAGTTTAAAATAACAAGCGCTTATGGCAGAATGTCTCAGTGACACAGGTGGCTAACGCAGGCATTATTTGTAGCAAAGAATAACCTACTAAAATTCGAGCTTTTTTTNAATGGTGTGACATCACTAATTTAGCAATCGATTAGTATTTGTGGTAAAGTGACACAAGATTAGCTGGTTTCAATTGAGGTAGCATTCCCATTCAGTCGTATTGCAGATAATGTACACTAAAAATAAATCGGTCTTCCCTCAGAAAGGACTAGTGCTCAACTATCAGAAGATATGCAGGAATTCCATTTGCTAGATGTATTTGGATCACTTATAAAAACTATCACTGTTTCAGTGTGCTTCTTCATTAGATTAACCAATGAATGGTGTTGGTGTAATGAATGGAGCTTGTCCATGGGTGCTCTACGCCAAGGATATGGAATGTAGAGTGGATACTAGAGGGAGATGGGAGATACAAACAACATCTTGTGGGCTTGGTTATTCCAAAGTTGTCCGTTCTGAAAGGCAATGCATTTTTTTCTACCTTCCAATTGGCTTACAGGCACCTGCTTGCTCTCCTCATCAGAGATAATTATTTTAATATAAGATATTCACATTCCTCCATATACTAAGGATTCTTTACCCGTAAACAACAGAATACGCACATTAAAATAATGTAATTCCACATCTTTTACAAGATGTCCATGGTAGGGTTACCCATTATTCATTATGAACAACCAATTACATCATTGGAACATAGTAACAGGAGTAGGCCATTCAGCCTCTCGAACCTGTTCTGCCATTCTATTAGATCATGGGCATGGCTGATCTATACCTCATCTCCAAATCAAATGCTAGCCAATTTTCTTGAACAAAAAGAAAAAAAAAGGTTCTTGTTTATATTATGCAAAGTCCTACTCGGTGCAGTTAATGAACTGTACATGCTCCTATGATGCACCTCAATCATTTTTTCATAATAATACAACACAATTTAAGGCCATATACCACAGCATTCCCGATTACCTGGTAAATAAACGTGTAACTAGAATTTAACGTGATCCCTCACCCCAAAATTGTTTTATTTTGTTACACATTCAGTTTGTTTATTTATATGTTATAGATGTTTTTTCAGTAAGTTTAGATATTAGGAAACTACTGGCTTTTTCCTTCCTTGCTTCATAAAAAGTTTCATAGATGTCAGAAGCTGCTTTCTTGAAGTCGGTGGTGGGGGGGCGGGGGGTGCTGCCATTTAATATTAGGATTTATGTAACAGGGCTATGTTTAGTATTTGGAGGAGCAAACGTCCAAATAGTTTCATAGGTTCTAACAGGTAAATAGATCACGTCAAGGGGTTAACCAAATCTATTAGTTTTCCCAGAGGTACATGAGTTGCTCTGATGGATCCGTTATGGTTTCTGGGTCTTCCATGAAAGATAGCAATTCCACATTACAGAAACAATCTGAACAGTCGCCACCCTGTGTGTAAAAAAACATTTTCCATCAATTCACAAAAAACAGAAACATTTCTATTGATTTTGGTGTTCTAAGCAAATGTTAGCATATTACTTTAGGTACAAGTTCAAGTAACTAGCATTCAATGAAATTTTTTTTTAATACAATTATTGCATCAAGCGTCCAGAGAAAACACCTTATAGCAAACCTGTCTTCAACAACTTTTCAGGTGACTGTGCCAAAGTGTCTTTTATATATGGTGGCCTCTGAGTAAGTTGGTGTGCAAACCAGGCTGTTCCAGGACTGTTGTTAACAGAGGGTGGTTGCTGAATGGAGATGGTTGCTTGAACAAGTTTGACTGCGATCACGTAATATTAGTTTTTCTCCCTCATACATATAGAATCTTCAAGATTAAAATTGTGCAGATATAATTCTTAACTGCAAGGGGCCTGTGACAGCTTGGAGGGAAATACAATCCACTTTATTCACATTATGCTGCCTTCACAGTTTTGCTTCTTGTCTTTACTTATAATCATACACACATTATATATTTTAGATTCGATGATTCAGTGAAGACGGGTTAAGAGAACCAATGGGAGCACACGAATGATGGAAACAGGTTCAATACCCAATTCCAGAAAGTATTAGGCGTAGGTTGGCTAGAGCCGAGGCTTGGGGACCCCAGAGAATGCGTTGGGGTACTGATGGAATTTAACCAGCTAAAACCGCAAAGCTTGCCATTGAAAGAACTGTCTGGCAAGCTTCCTGCTTCTTGTAGCTAGTAAGGCCCTACCAGTTAAGGATTTGAGTAAATAGGAGTCGAATGGGAAGAATCCCTGCTCCCGGGAAGCAATCTGCCAAGGGGCTCAGACGCTGGCTCAGTAACCAGCTACCAAGACCACCACAGAAGCTTGATTCAATTCTGACCTTCCATTGTTAAATACATCAATTTGGAGATAGTTCAACTCCAAGGAGATCCCACTTACCTCCCCGCGCCCTCCCCTCCCAAACGAGGATCGATCTTGTTTTAGTCAACTCGCTTTTGTGAAATGCACAAGCTGGTTTCATAGTGGATCAGCGGAGACCTGGAATGTGTCTTTCCACTCAAGATCTCAGTTACAGTTGAAACAATGAGAAAAACAGATTCCCCACTGTGCCACAGCTGAGAACAGAAACTGCTGCAGAGGAAATGCCTATGCAAAATTAATTATTGAATAATAATAATTCTCGCATTTTGATATAGCGCCTTATCACGACTTTGAGATGTCTCAAAGCACTTCACGGAATAAACTGTAAAGTGGAGTGACTGTGCATTTTGTTTGTGAAACGAGGCAGTCAATTGCGCACAGCTCCAGGGAAAGTTCAGATGAACTTGTCCTGGCTATCAACAACAACAACTCGGATTTATATAGCACCCTCCACGCTGGACAGCATCTCAGAGCACTTCACACTTACGGATCCTGGGGCCAAGCCAGGGGGAGGAAGGTGACCAAAGGCAAGGTCGAAAAGAAGGTCTTCAGCAGAGACCTGAAAACAGGAAGAGAGGGCGCGATGCGAAGGGAGTGAAGAAGAGAGTTCCAGAGCCTCGGGGCATAGTGGCTGAAGGCACAGCTGCCGAGGGTGGAGCGGAGGACTCGGGGGACAAGGAGGAGGCCAGACCTGGAGGAATGAAGGCAACTGGCACTGTTTTTAGGAGAGAAGAGGTCAGAGAGGAAGGTGGGTGCAGAAGAGTGGAGGGATTTGAAGACAAGAGTGAGGATCTTGAAGTTGATCCTCTCTGGGATAGACAGCCAGTGCAGTCTGGCAAGGACTGGGGTGATCGGGGAGCGGAGTTTGGTGCGGGTGAGAATGCGCGCGGGAGTGTTTTGAAAAATCTGGATTTTATGGATGGTAGTGGAGGGGAGGCCGGCAAGGAGGGTGTTTGACTAGTCCAGCTTTTGGAGAGAGGTATTGGCGGAGACGGGCGATGCGTCGGAGGTGGAAGAAAGCGATGCTGGTGAGGGACCGGATGTGGGGAAGGAAGGATAATTGGGGGTCGAACCTGACGCCTAGATTGTGTACGGGTTCGGAGAGTTTTAGGGGGAGGTTGGGTAGGTGAAGGAGGTGAGAACCATGGGATTTTAGACGCTGATGAGAGCCAAAGAGCATGGCTTCCGTCTTGTCAATGTTCAGCTGAAGGAAATTTGCACTCATCCAGCTACTGAGGTCTGACAGGCAGGCTGACAGGAAGTCTAATTATTCTTAGTGCAGAAAGATTAAGCTTAAATGATACACACTCATCATACTTTACAGTTTATACTGTAAATACAGTCATTCCTACTTTGAGGTGTCCTCCCGATGAGAAAGCTGCTATATAAAATGTAAGGATTATTATTATTATTATTTACTAACGTTTGATATTTAAACAATTTTTTGATTACAATTTTCTTCTTCTCTTGAACAAATTGACACATTCAAACTGAGATATCTCTAATTTGGTCACTAAATGCAATCAGGAGTAGGAACTGGGGCTGATTTTATTCTCTCGCTAACTCTGCCTGAGATCAGCTAACTGATCAGAGCAAGGATCAACCAATTCTTTTCCAATTTGTACAGCTCAGGTACTAATTAGATAAATTTGCAGGGCCATTGGAATATGTTGGATTTTAACTTTTTAACCCAGAAATGTTTATCCTAAATCTGATCCTCTAACTGTAGCTAACCAGAAGATCCACAGTAAATTCATTAGAATATTTCTGGACAGAAACCGGTGACCCAAGTCTGTGCTGGTGTTTTCTTTTCTCCACATATCCCTCCTTCTCCTCAAGTATGTATCTAATTTAACTGGAATTTAGGTTGAATTTGAAATGTCTGTTTGAAAATACCATTCCTTTGCGTCTTTACAAGACTTGCAAAGAATGCACATCACGGAAACAGGCCACTTGGCCCAACCAGTCTGTGCTGGTGTTTATACTCCACATAAAGCTTCTCCCATTCCCTTCTGTCCCATAACCTTCTATTCCCCTCTCCCTCATGCATGGAGGTATCTATGAATTATTCTGACAACTGTCCTAAAACCCAACAAGTAATTTCTTTTTACCTGTGCTTCAGTGGCATGAAGTAGAAATTTGTCATTTGAACAGCTGGCCAGATCTGCAAAACAATCAAAGAAAAATCACACTTTGGTGGCACCATTACATCTAACCTGTATAAATGCAAACATAATCATGTCAATGTTTTTTCTTCTGATGTTGTTGAAATGCTTTGTATCAAAATTACAGAAGAATGCCTTCAAAATTAATGTCATTATAATAATCATTATAGTGTAACTAGGCTGTGAACCCCGACATTTACCCAGCAAAATAAAACCCAAAATATGCACAGAAAGCCACTTCAAATTGCATTGAAAACACCTTCTGGCTTTTCACACTGAGAAGTGGTCACACCTGCAGTTCACCCCTGACAATACTGCTTGCACAATATGCAGGATGTGATGTCAACTGTGACCTGATTTACATTGTGTTCAGGCAGAATAAAATGAACTGTTCATAAGTAGTAGGCATTTGATATCATCATTATAGCAGTGCCATCCACAGAGAAAACGTTCCCTGAAGTTATTTCAGTGCTGTCACTATTGGGAAGTCAAGTGGCCGGGGTGGGTTGGGGAAGGGAAAGTTAGCAAAACATATTTTGACCGTATTCTTTAAATAGGAAACGATGTGCTTAGGAATACCACAATTTTAACTTATATCAAAATGTCTAAAATTTCTGAACTGATGTCTGTTATTTTAAAATGTAGTCAATGTTATGTCGGCAAATGTGGCAGCCAGTCTGTACCAACAAAGTCCCACAAGCAGAAAATTAAAAAAAACACACACGCAACAACAAAATTACATTTGTATAGCGCCTTTCATGTGCACACACACACGTACACACACAGTGTTTGGAGCTGAGGTCAGGGACAATCTGCTGTAGCTCCCGTTTTGCTTTTCTGTGACTCCTTGGCTGAAAATATGAAGCGAGTACCTGTAACTGATGTAACCACACTCACTCATGGCTTTCAAAGTGCCCCTTGCTTAATGGGAGCTTCATGGAAATAGAAGTTTTATCAGATCTGCAAGCACCATTCTGATGTGAGAGTGAGAGGCTTATGTGAGTGTAAGAGGCTGAAGTTCCATTCAAGGACAATATAAGGGAAGTCAACATTTTTACTGATTTGGGGCATTTTTAGTTTGAGTACCTATTTCTAGCACTAAATGTAAAAGTAAAAATGCAATCCATTCGCCACAATCCAACAATAATCATCTTCTTTGCCTTTGATGTAGCACCTTTCACGTCAGGAACATGTCGCAAAGTGCGTCACAGGATTAACTGTAAAGTGTAGTGAATGTGTACTTTGTAGGCAAAATACGCTAAAATGCATCTTCATTCTCAATGTTCATGCACAATGGTGTAAGCTGAGACTCTTTTCCCCTTTGAACCCTTTCCTGCCTGTCCTTTCAGATTTCAAGAACAACTTACATTTATATAGCACCTTCCATGTAAAATAATGTCTCATAGCACTGGACAAACGGGGGCTGGATACCGAGCAGGCAAATAGATTTGGATATCAGCCTTCAAAAAGATATGACCATTCTGATGTGAGAGGCTTATGTGAGTGTAAGAGGCTGAAATGAGATTCCATTGTATAGTGAGGTGCAACATTGCACCAACAATTACTATACATCAGTTTAATTCTTCTAAAAATACATATAAGTTACTTACATAATAGTTCGTAATCAGTGTATCTTTGTAATCCTACAAAAATAAAGGACAATTATAGTTTCAGTACATCTGATATGATTTTAACATATAAACATTAGCTATTTTAACATTTATTTTGGAGTGATTTTTTATTCAATCACAAACAAAACACAACTCTAAAGTATAGTACTAAAGAAAGTTGTCACATTGGGGCTTATTTTCAACTGAACATTAAGTATCTTTTAGCAGGTCAATTTGTCTTTAGGCTTTTTTCTTACTTCCACTGTCCTTATTTTGGTGATGGCAATCAGGAAAATCAATGTCTGAAGTTTATAATAAACCTTACATTTGATAAAGTGCCTTTCACGTTGGGAGAACATCCCAAAACGTTTCATAGGATACACTGTAAAGTGGAGAGCCTGTGTGTTTTTGTGAGTGAACACATCAGTCAATTTACACGAGCAATATCCCTCAACCAGCAACGAAGTGAGTGACCAGTTTTATTGTATTTTGTGAGAATGTTGACCAGGACACCGACAGAAACTCCCTTTTCTTTTCAAATGGTGCATGGGATCTTTAAGTATGTCCATATGAACAAGAGATGGAATCTCGGTTCAATGCCTCATCCAAAGGATGTCACCTCCAACAATGCAGCAACACCCCCACCCCCCACCCCCTGCCCCCACCCCCTGCCCCCACCCCCTGCCCCCACCCCCTGCCCCCACCCTCCGCTCTGCACTGGAATGTCAACATAGACTATGCAAGTTCCAAATCTCAACATTACTTAGGCACGAGTTCTACCAACTGAGCCAGGTTAACGCTTGACAGGATTAAATTGTGACAGGAATGGGGGAGGTAAGTGGGGTCTCCTGGGAGCTCAATTGGCTCCAAGGTGATATGCCTGTCAATGGAATGTCGGAATTGAACCAGCTCTCTTTGGTGGTCTTGGTAGTCTGGTTCCGCAGTATTCCAGGGCACTCCCGATGACAGCACAGTCAGCTGGCTCATCGGCAGAACTGGAAGGGCAGACCAGTCACTGGGGCCAGGGAGTCAACCCACTCCTGTTAACCCTGCAAGCCAAAGCCCTAACAGGTTCTAGTTAGACAAGCAGCAGGAAAGCTTGCCAGACAGCAATATCAAAGGCAAACTACGTAGTTTTAGCTGGTTTGACTCCAACAGTACTCCAACACAACTCTGGGGTCCTCAATCCATGTGTAGGTGGGATGCATGGAATTCTCAGATTGGTTTGGATACTCTTAAGCATGGTGATGGGCTTCCACTTGTGTCGGACCCAAAAACTATTGCTAAACCCTTGTTCCTAAGATGCACTGTTTTTAGGGAAGAAAATAATGATCAAAACTGAACACAATGTTCCTCTTCTATGCAATCAGGACAGATGGTGATGAAAGTATAGATATATTTATATTATATATGGGTGCAATTCAAACCAGATATTATATTATGATACAATGGGAGAAGAGTACTTGATTGAAATGGAGGAATGATAGCCTAAAGGAACAGTATCTCCAGCTGAATTTTCTCCTGTGTGATTATGGCATCATTTAGGGTTTATGCAGTGAGAAATAAAAATGAATTTCTGCCTTTCTTTCTAATAAAAAAGTTCATTCATTGTAGCATCAAACACACTGCTATGTTTTGATTCTGTTAACCGTTCAGCGAAGCACAAAAACAATAAGGTAAAACGGAAGCTTGTTCGGCCTTTCGTCATATTGTTGCTTGATAACCCACTATCTAGGCTGGTGACATTTACAAGGCATTAAAGCAAGGCACAAATGATGGACTGGGACAATTAAAAGGAATACATAAAGGATTTGACTGTAGCTGAAAGGAACTCACGGTTGTTGATTCACTGCATTCCTGTCATAGGCCATGATAAACACAAGTCTCAGACTCTGAACGTGGCACCAATCTATATTTACACTGTGACAGATTGATTTCAGTTCAAAGCCACAGTGCAGGAACTAGTGATAGAAAATTATGCAAATTATTACACTCCTTTCGTCTTCTCGTTCTTTGCATGATGGTTATTAATCAACGATCACAAGAGAGGTTTGACTGAAGAAGGCCTGACAGCCTATTTGATCTCATCTTTTCAGAATAATAAAATAAAAATCATCCTTGCATTTTATATAGAGTTGGGTGTCTCAAAACACTTCAGGTTTTGACTGTACTTATAGGCAAATTGTTATTTGCAACTCTGAACTGTACCAACCTGTCCTGCTGCCTTGGCAAATCAAAACATTGTTCTGCGTTTATTTTCTCTATCCCAAGAAAAATCCTATATACCTCTATAAGCCTCTCTGAGAGACAGACATTTCTTTTAAAAGCTGATGATCCTTAGTTTATCGGGGGTGACATGCTTGGCAGCGGAATGTCAGAATCGAGCCAGCCCTCTCTCGCAGTCTCAGTAGTCTGATATCTGAGCCAGGCCGGTCCGCAGTACTCCATAGCACTGCTGATGACAGCACAGCCAGCCTGAGCCTGGCTCATTGTTTTTTTTTGGTCAGCCGTGACACATGTCGAAACTCATCACCGTGCTTAAGAGTATCCAAGCCAAGCTGAGATTTCCATGCCTCCCACCAACACATGGAAATCCCAGAGATAGATTGTTGCAATGGAATGTGCACTCTCTCCCTGGAGGGACACATCCTGTTTACCCAATTCCAGAAACTATTTGCGCAGGTTGGCAAGAGCCAAGGCTTGGGGACCAAAGTGTGTATTGGGATAACTGCTGGAGTCTAACCAGCTAAGACTGCATAGCTTGCCATTGATATTGCTGTCTGACAAGCTTTCCCGCTGCTTGTCTAGCTAAGATAATAATAATAATAATAATAATCCTTGCATTTGATATAGCGCTTTTCACGTCGGGAGGACGTCCCAAAGCGCTTCACAGAACACACTGTAAAGTGAATTGACTGTATATTTGTGGGCGAACGCGGTAGCCAATTGCGCACAGCAATGTCCCACAGACAGTCGTAGATTGAAAATGACCAATTTAATTATTGTTTTTGTTTTTTTGGAGGGATTATTATTAGGCGTGTGGAGTAAGGAAACTTGCCCAAGGTTTCGCCCTGACCTGCCTGGAATTGAACTCAGGTCTCTCACTTGCAAAGCGAGTGCTCTAACCACTGAGCTACAGGACTCCACAAGATCATCCTTCCTGTTAGGGCTTTGGCTTCCAGTGTTAACAGGGGGAGTGGGATGACTCCCTGCCCCCAGAGACTGGTCTGCCCTTGGAGGTCTTGCCGATGAGCCAGGCTGGCTGTGCTGTCATCAGCAGTGCCCTGGAATACTGCGGACCCTCCTGGCTCAGGAACCGGACTACCAAGACCGCCACAGAGGGCTGGCTCGATTCCGACATTCCTTTGCCAGACATGTCACCTTGGAGCCAGTTTAGCTCCAAGTAGATCCCGTTTATCTCTACCCCATCCTCAGGAGGATAGTCACCAGTTGGTCGTTCAACATCTGACAACCGCGGGTTTGAGCCTCACTAGGTGGGTGGTAGGTACCAGGAACTCCCTGCGAGCTTCCCGGTGGGAAAAATAAATGTGTGAGAGCTTTGTCATCGTCTTTCTGTCCTGTCAGTACAAGTACTTGAAGGAGAAAGAATAACTGTTACAGGCAGAGGTGTTACTGTGGTTGTTTGTTCACTGTCGCACTTTGAAAGGTCTTGAGCTTCTCCCAGTTCCCTTCCAATCTATTTACTCCCTTGTTTTTCCCACTCTCCCTTATTTTGAGAACTCTCTCCTCTCAGACTCCCCTCCCCCACTAACTAGATGTATGAAAGACACAATAAAGACAGGACATTTGTGTCAATTGTTGAAGCTAACACCTGGAGCCATTCATTGGAGATTTTGTTGGAGACCAATGACTATGGTAGTTTCTCCTGCCTTTCTTTGATCAGGCTTGTCTGTGAGGATGTTCAATCAGGGTGGTTAATTAGTGTTTGATGTGCCATTGACACCGGGACCACAATTTCCCCTTTGAAAACCTGTAACAATACTTATGCAGAGTTAAGTATTGCTTTAAGACGTGCTTTCAGCTCCAACGCCCCTAATATGAGGCAATTGCACTCCTTCAAGATGAGCAGCCAATAATGTCATGGTGACCAGAACTATACACAGTACACCAGATGCAGCCAGAGCAGAGTACTATACAGTTAGAATCATAGAATATTACAGGACAGAAGGAGGCCATTCAGCCCATCGTGCCCCAGTTTGAGCATGATTTCTGGAAACTCAATTAAATTTTCCTTAACTGCTCTAGAATTAATAATAACATTGCTTGCAATTGATATAGCGCCTTATCACATCTTTGAGACGTCTCAAAGCTCTTCACAGAATATACCATAAAGCAAATTGACCCATATATTTTGTAGGTGAAATGCGACAGCCAATTGCGCACAGCAGTGTCCAACAAATAGTCATGGATTGAGTGACTAAATTATTATTAATTTTATTGATCATTTTATGTTCAGAACAATTTTTAACAACTGCTAAAATGTAGGGTTTTCTCATGCAGCTAAATCATATGAAATTGACTATGTCTAGCAGTGAAGATATATCCAGTGACACGCGGTAGCCAATTGCGCACAGGGTGGTGGGGGTGGGAGAGAATCTTTTACGTTGGCCTACTAGTAATTATATTTTCCAGGATAGGATAGAGCTGTTTGGGTGAAAATTTGACAGCGTCTATCGATTTAGCTATTTCAGAGTGGAACCCTGATCAAAGCTGGTGCCCTCAATGAGAATGATTAATTGCCTCAGTTAACCTGGAGAGCCATCGGATAGCATTGAGAAGCAGACGAACATTCTGCAAGTGAATAGCCCAAACCGGAGATTACCAGCCATTCTTTAAAAGTCTTCACCCTTGAGCTCATAACATAAATTGACACTTTGGCGCCTGCGGCACAACTCATTCAGTGCAGAAATCGAAAGTGTAATAGAGTACACCTGTTACATTTGATTGCCAATGAAGGCTCTACTTGCATCATTTAAAAAGTGCATCTTAAAAGTTGCTTTTTATGATCACAAGTAAGTACAGGTATGCTAAAGTCTGATTCATATTGAAGTGAGGTTTTAACTAATAAACATACAGGTATATCTTCACAGGAACAGATGTGCAAACCTCAGAGGTTTATTTACATGAGCGTGCTTAATTTTCATTTCAGACATTTTATGGATTAGAAAGCGTAAGATTTTGTGGTTTAAAATGTTACCTAAATATCATTAAAAATGAAGGACTGATGTCTGCTGTGATGCACCCTCTTATCAATTAGCCTGCGAGCACTCACTCACCAAAGGTACCTTGCCTTATAATAATAATTCTTGCATCTGATGTAGCGCCTTATCATGTCTTTTAGATGTCTCAAAGAGCTTACAGAATATACTCTAAAGTTAATTGACTGTATGTTTTGTGGGCGAAATGCCACAGCCAATTGCAAACAGCAGTGTCCCACAAGTAGTGACTGACTGACCAAATTATTATTATTTTGAAGGGTTTATCATCCCTGGAAAAGCGATCCACCAATCGACTTACAATCGGGTTCCTACTTACTGCTAGGTAAACAGAGGTAATGTTTACATGTGAGCCATGGCATTGAGTACCCCAGTCAAAGGGAAAATAAGTCAAGCGCATTCAGGAGGGGAGAGGGGAAAAAAAGGAAAGTTCCTCAACAAGCTATTTCAGAACCCCTCATGGCTGCCCAAATTGAGATTAATGCACTATTCATTTCATGTCCAATAAATGCTAACTATTCCCTGGAGAGCCTTTAATTCCACGGCAGAGGAGAATGAACTTGGTGACCTGGTTGTTGATTTCAATGAACAAGTCTGGCTTCATTTAGTGTGCCACCTCCCTAACATTTGTTCATATTGATGATAAAGGCAGGTACACGGGTGGCAACATTGACACCTATTTAAAATAAATTACCTGCTGCTGAATAGTTTAAGTGCAGCATCTGTGCTTTTAACAAGCGTTTTTTAATGTTCTGATTTTCTAGCTGTCCTTTTAGTTGCATTTGTCTGGCTAGAAAGGAATGTAATCAAATTAATTCTAATAATCTGTGAAAGGAATCACAAAAAGAATTTAGGAGGAACTACTTCACATAGAGTTTAGTGAGACTATGAAATTCACTGCCCAAAGCAATGGTTGAATCAGATAGAGTAGATGCATTGAAGAGGAAGCTAGATCTTCATGAGGGAGAAGGAAATAGAAGGGTATGGGAGTAAGAATTGGGTGGAGATTCATGTGTCATATAAACACCAGCCTGGACTAGTTGGGCTGAATGGTCTGGTTCAGTGCTGTACAATCTATATAGAATATTAATTTGTCACAGTCAAATCACAGAAAAGCTGCAATACTAGCTTGTTTTAAATTCATACAAAATATGGTTCAATTAATTTCAGTAGATCCCATAAACAGCCATGACGAGAATGATCAATTAAACTGTCGGTCTGTTGGCCAGGACACTGGAAGAAACTCCTTTCTCTTTCCAAACAATATCACAAGATCTTTCATGTCCACGTGAATGGGCAGACGGCATTCTGTTTAACAATTCCTTTGAAAGATGACACCTTAAACAATGCAGTGCTCCCCCAGCACTTCAATGGGGTATAAGGCTAGACCGCAAGTTCAAGTCCCAACCCAAGGTTTGCATCCACAAATCTGTGACCCAGAGGTGAGATTGCTACCAACTGAGCTGAGCCTATATCAGTTACCTCAGTTACTTCTCATTTGTGATTAATTCAGTGTCACTTTGTCTTGCAGCAGACCTACTAAATCACATTGTAGCTTTTACAAACATGCACATTGAAATAAGTGTTACTTACCTTATTTAACTTGAGCCAGATTTCATCTGCCGAAAGGCCATTCAGAACTCCAGTTAATGAAATAAAGCAGCCCAAAAAAATAGGTGCAAGTAAACCCTAGAGAGAAAATACAAAGATTTTGTTTGAGCTGTGTCCACATAAAATGCATCAACCTCAGATACTCCATATTCTGCCCCACTTATACCATATTCTAACTTTCCACCTTTGTTGGAATTTTATACTAATCCAACCAATACATATTTTGTAACCCAACAGTGGATTACTGACCTCCCGAAAATATGAAGTGCAGAGGTCCTAAGGTTGTTGATTCACAGATATGCAGTTATATGCAATTATCTAATTCAGCACAAACAAAATCACATTCACAGCCAAAATAATGAGTAATTATACTGGTGATTTGAAAGGTACTATATAATATACAGTGCCTTATTACGTTTTTGAGATATACAGTATATACCGGAAAGTGAATTGACTGTATAATTTTTGTGGGCGAAACATATAAATGTAAATTTAAAATACAAATTTGTATTGTGATACAAACACCTTTCTGTGTGGTGACACTGATGTGAGGTGCTGCATACTGTCTGATCATTGTGATCCACATTATTGCCTTAAAGATCATCTATCAATCAGGGTGCTTTATGAACGAACAGATTGGGGACAGAAGCAAGTGCAATATATGGAGGACAAGTTTTTCTACTGAAACTGTTACAAGCCATTGCTGTGTATCCAGAAATCCTACAATCCTACAAAACTTTCGATTTGCTTTGCCTTACATGCTGCTGGACTTGGTTGTAAAGATTTATGAGGAGAAATTCCACCTGGGTGTAGATTTACTCTCTTTATGTAGCATTTCAGAGAAGCCAGAATGTTTGGTACATTTTTTAAATGCAACCTTAATTCTGAAGCAAATTCGTTCAAAACTGACATCAAAGTTAAGTCAATAATTTGCCGAATTTTGCACACTCTTAAAATGCTATACAAATAAAACAAATTTAGACATAAATGGAATTTCTCCTCCTTGGTCTTGAAGGTAGCATCCTTAAAATGGTGTGACTGAACAGTTTTAGTCATGGTTGTTTCCAACTTCTTCTCAACTCCAGTTTAGTTCTTTATCATTTCGACTACTACTATTACATACGGTATATGATTGAATAGCATACATAAATAAACCACATCATACCTGTTAGCAAAATTGATTAGCAAACATAAACAACACAATGACATTCAACAGCACCCAAAGGTGCTTAATTGAGGTGACAGAATTAATCCAACTCATCTCTGACTGAGGAGCAAGTTAGGATGCTGCTTATCAGAAATATTTCATTCAGCCTGGATAATACGTGACTATACTTATGACTGCATATCTGTCTTACCTGCTTTCCCCCTTAAATCAGAATATCATCCTTATTATTGCTTATGCAGTCCATGAAAAAGAATGCTTTAATCTCAAACTCTAGTTGCGTCAACCACATCCTAATTCTAGCCGAATATGAAACTCAAATACTGAGTGCCCAGCATGAAGTGTCAGTATAAATAGAGCCTTTGAAGCTTCATAGGTGCAATTATTTCAAAGATATTTTCTTCAACATAAGGTGCTTCAAACTTTGTAACCTAAAGAAATCATAAATTTCACCCTTTATTTATTGTGGAATACTTTTTAGAAATTTCCTTCAACAGAAGGCGTGCTATGAAAGCAATATGACTCCAGAAAAAAGTAGTTACAGTATTTGCATTCTACGTTCATTACTAATTTAAAAATTGAAGGTAACAATTTTTATTAATTGAACCTGTATATTAAAAAAATGTTTTTCCTCGTTCACTTGAATGCTGTTCATATCTCATTTGAAATGTGCACCATTTTATTGACTTATTAAAATCTGTTAATCTTGTGGAGGAAAGAGTTGGGTGTTCCAAACTCTTCCCCCCACCAGCTGCAGATTATTCAGAACTGTGCAACTCATGTCCTCTCCTTTGCCAGGCTCCGTGACCCCATCACCCCATCCTCGCCCGGCTCACTGGCATCCCATCCCTCAGAGGATAGAGTCCAAAATCCTTGTCCTTGCTTTCAAAGCCTTTCACTGCATTGCTCCTTCCTACCTCCTGACCCCCTACCAACCTGTCCGCTCCCTCCACTCAGCAGGCTCTGACTTGTTCCATGCCTGACCCACCCCACCATCGGCAGTTGGGGCTTCAGCTTTTCTGCCCCCAACCTTTGGAACTCCATCCCATAGTCCCTTCTCCTCGCCCCCTCCTTTGCCTCCTTCAAGGTCCGTCTCAAGACCTTCTTCTTCGACTGCGCCTTTGGTAACCACCCTACCCCCATCCTCCCTGCTGTGCATGCTTCCTGATCCCAAGCCCCTGCTCGAGTGCACATCCTGAACTGTCCAGCACTTTGAGACATCCTTCAGACGTGAAAGGGCTATACAAATGCAATTTGTTGTTGTTGTTATTAATAATAATCCTTGCATTTGATATGCAATCTAATAAAATTGTATTGTTCCTCAGTACTTTAGTTCAGTGGTTTACTATTGGCGTGATTGATTGACAAACAAAACGCAGGTAGATTTATAATTTACTGCTGTCCTGATCCACGATGCTGTATGCATATCATTTTGCAGTAACACATCTCTGAAACTGAGCTTGGTACCTTGTAATAACAACATCCAGCCTAGCAACCAAGAAAGAGCTTTCACCAAACGTTCACATTTTTGAACTGAGAAAAGCTCAGAAACTAAGGGGAAAAGTACAAATACAAATGATTTCAATGCTCCATGCTGTATTCTTTCAAGGTAATAGTGAATCTTGGGTTCCAACAGTTGATTTTCTCACAGGGGGCAAAATTACTGGAATTGGGTACATTATCACTCCCAAAAACTTTCACCTAAATCTAAAATTACACTCTGAAAACAGAATGACACTCATTATAGGATTTATTTGTGAGTTGAAAAATCTGTCTGACTGACTTAATATCAAAAGAGAAAGAAACATGAAAAAAAAATAATAATCCTTGCATTTGATATTGTGCCTTGTCATGTCTTCGAGACGTCTCAAAGTGCTTCACAGAATACACTGTAAAGTGAATTGACTGTATATTTTGTGGGTGAAACGAGGCAACCAATTGCGCACAGCAGTTTCCCACAAACAGTTGTGAATTGAGTGACCAATTTATTATTCTTTTGGAAGGAATTATTACCCTCAGAAAAGCAATCCCCCAATCAACTAACAACCAGCTTCCTACTTACTGCTAGGCAAACAGAGGCGTGCAGTTAAGGAAATTTGCTCAACGTTTCGCCCTGCCCAGGAAACGAACCCAGGTCTCTCACTTGCAAGGCGAGTGCTCTAACTACTAAGCTGCAGGACTCCAAACTACAATACAAGGGCATTGCCAATAACACAGTAAATAATCTGCACACCACAAGCTTCTAGACCCTGCCCCCCCATCTCTCAATTGCCTGTCATCCACAAGTACTCAGTACTCGCATACCTGATTTCAACCTCTTTTGTATATAATGTATACTTGTGGGTAAATAATCTGCTCAGTTTCCATTGTAGATATCGCTAAAAGTGTATTGTTGTGACAGAATTTTTACTCCATCGCATTTGATATAATCTCTTATTATGTTGTCTACACATCTCAAAGAACGTTACAGGGTTTTATGATAGAATGTAGTGACTGTATATTTGGAGGCGAATGCAACAGTAATGTCCCACAAACAGCCATGACCAATTTTCTTTGTGGGATTGTTGGCCAGGCCTCTGTTGAGAAACAGCGCTATCTTTTTGAATAGGCAGATGGGACTTTGATTAACAACAATAACTTGCATTTATATAGCGACCTTCACGTAGGAAGCATCTCGGATCTCTGCACAGTGATGGGGGTTGAATCATTTACAAAAACTGACCTGATCAAGACACATTTTCTTTAATGCCACAATTTTGGTGTTTCCAGGAAGGAGCTGATCTAGTAATTTATACCAGCCTCCAAGAACAGGACCCTGCAATGAGATGACAGTTACAACATAAAATTACATAGCATATTTGTTAATCGGGACTAGTCTCAAATTAAACTGTTTTCAATTGAAGATTGAAATTCCAGCAACTAGCTACAAAACAGCAAATCACCTTAGCGGTTCAAAAAACATAGTTCACAAATTAAATTGCACAGATGGTGGTTGGAATGTGGAATTCTCTCCCACAAATTGCAATCGAGTCCAGAGATTATTTTAAAAGGAAATTAGATGAAAAAATATCAATATGGTACGAGGAACGAGCAACAGAATGCCAGATTAGTGACTCATGTGGAGGAAGACACAAGCTAAAAGGCTGGTTTCTAAGCTGTAACATTCCAGGTTGGCGTCAGCCTGGCTACCACTCTCGACTCTGAGTCAGCCAGTTGTGGTTCAAGTCCCCACTTTGGGACTGTGAACTTATAGTCTCGGCTGTTTGGAATGTGCTGCCTTGTTGGGGCTGCTCAGGTTTGTTCTCTCTCCTTTCAGACTCACGCTTGGGCTGCTCACACCTGCCTGGTTACAAAGTTTAATTTTACCTGTTGCTTAAATGTAATTATCATCTGTTTATGAAGTTGAATTTTCATCCATTTGCAAACTTGAATGATGAATTCTATGCGTTCGAAGCCCTACTTTGCAATGGTTAGTATGGAAATGTAACACGTGACTGCCTTTTGGGACTCAGTCGAGGCATGGGATTTGCCAGTAAAGGGGTTATTTAATAGGAGTTTTGATTGACAGGAGTTCTTCGGGGTTTTCTCTCGCAATTTCCATGATTGAAAATTTCTAAAGTGTCAGAAAGTCCTTACAAAATAGGCTATGGTTGCATAATTGATAAGTTTTGTCCTCATTTCTGTTGACGGAAAAGGAGCAAAATCTGAAAAGTGGATGTATTGCTACATAGAGATTACAGAGTGGGAATGGCGGCTGGTTTTTGGAGCATGTAAAGGACTCTGGCACTATCTTCTAAGTTACAGAGAGAGCACTTTAAATTGGTTCAAAAAATCTGACAGTGGAACCCGGTATCTTGAACCAAAGTGCTGGAGAGGGATAATAAGAATAAAATTCTTGCATTTGATAGACCGAAAGAGGCGGTTGGGCCAAACAAGTCTAAGCTGGCGTTTTTCTCCAATATGGCAAACAATCTAATATTAACATTGAAAGGCCGATTGTTACATTACATTCATGTCACAATGATCGACTTGGTGAACTTACCACAAAACACAGCCCTATAGATGTCAATTTTATTGTTCTCTTCATGTTGTGATTTGCCAGTCCTTTCCGTTCAATCAGTTGCTGTGTAATTATGTCACTAAATCCAACTAAAGTACCTGTAAAGTATAAAGAACATCAATCAGTAGAGGTATACAAAGTGTGTGAGAGTGTGTGGAAGAGAGAGTGATTGAGAGAGACAGAGAGAGCATGAGGCAGAGTGGAACAGAGAGAGGCAGAGAAGCAGAGAGAGTGAGTGAGAGCTGAGAGAGAGAAAAGTCAGGGTAGTGTTTTGTGGTTCACTGTCAGGAGAGTCAATCGGAGCCTCTCTTGGCTGCCACAGGGGAACCAAGGGTAGACACTGAGTCGCGCCGTGCAGTTTCTTCACAGAAAGCTCCCTCTTTCCCAGTGAGAAACGTCTCAACATTCTTCACCACTGACTTCCCCACCCTACCTCTGCAATCTCCCAACCCGGCCGTTCCCTTTGCCCAGCAAACACCAGTTTGCTTCATGTCCCCCCACCTCATCTACCTCACGATCGCCATTTTGTCCCCACTCTCTGGAGCTCCATTCCTGGCGTCTCTCCGACTCTTCTCTTTCAAGGTACATCAAGACAAGAATAACAAATTACATTTGTATAGCACCTTTGACATTGGGAGGATGTCCCAAGGCCCTGGACTCTTTGACCGTGCTTTCAGTCACTACCCCCCATCCTCACTCGGCTCCACCCCCAGCAGTGTCGAGCGCATTGAAATGTCCTTCCAACGTGAAAAAGAAACTATGTCAATGTTATATGATATTTCTGGAAAGGAAACACAAAAATATTGCTTATGTGGCCTGCGCATGTTTATCAAATTGGACATCTGGCCTTCAGCAGTCAAAAGGTTGGACCAGCCTGATGTATATTATTAAACAAGCAGAGGTATATTATATTATAAACATTATTAAACACGGAGATGTGTATGAAAATTATTAAACAACCAGAAGCATAAGCCCCTACTGACAGCAGCTTGATCTGCAGAATAATATTAATAATCCTTGCATTTGATATAGTGCTTTTCACGTCTTCTCGATGTCTCAAAGCGCTTCACAGAATAGACTGTAAAATTAATTGACTGTATATTTGTGGGCGAAACACGACAGCCAATTGCGCACAGCAGTGTCCCACAAACAGTCGTGGATTGAAACTGACCAATTTATTATTGTTTTATTTTGGAGGGATTATTATTAGGCGTGTGGAGTAAGGAAACTTGCCCAAGGTTTTGCCCTGCCTGGAATTGAATCCAGGTGTCTCGCTTGCAAGGCGAGTGCTCTAACCACTGAGCTACAGTAGGACTCCTGTAGTATGATATATAAAAACATAGGAACAGGAGAGCCCAACCTGTCAAGTCTGCTCCGCTATTCTGTTAGATCATGGCTGATCTGTAACTCAATACCATTTGCTTGCTTTCTCCCCCAACACCCCCATTCCCTTACTAACCAAGTATGTATCGACTTCCCCTTCTTAAAAAGCTCCACGGACTACATTAACTATTAAGTAAAGAGATGTCTTCTGATTTCAACACTAACAAGTCTAGCACTAAACTTTAAGATGATGCCGTCTTGGTTCTTATCAAATAGGACGATCCTCTCCCAGGAGAGCTGTGTCTGACATCAACAGTGTCATTTGTTGACGCAAAAAGCAATCTTTCAAAGCAATTGCAATGTAAATGTATGACATTTAATTCTTGTGTTCTCTCATCAAAACAATGCCACCTTCTCTTTATCCAAAATGCTGTCTGCTTTTAATGTCTTGTGTCTGAGTTTAAAACAGCATCCTCCCACTGTGATCACTCTGTGCATGTGTATGGATTTAATGAATGCAAAGCACTTGGTGTAGTTTAGGGACAAAAGAACTTATGGACTCTGCTTCTCTACAAGCAGAGAATTCTACATTGTGTACTCTTCATTTCATGAGACTTTTGGAGCTCTGAGATGCTATCCCATGTGAAGGGCACCATAAAAAAGCAAGTTGTTGTTGTTGACTGATTTTAATTTCAATTTGTCATAATAAAACAACAGCAGAGGGATAATTCCCGAGCCGTTTACAGTGATGGAGTCGAGCAGGGGAAAGGTGACTATAGGCACAGTTGAAATGTTTGGTCTAAAGACTTGAAGGCAGGTGGGGAGGGGGTGAAGAGTTCTAGGGTGGGACAAAATAGCTGAAGACTCGGCTCTAAACTACTATTAATAATCCTTGCATTTGATATTGAGCCTTAACACGTGGTTGAGACGTCTCAAAGTGCTACACAGGATGTACTGTAAAGAGAAGTGACTGTGTATTTTGTGGGTGAGTTCAAGTTAAAGCCAAAACCTTAAGTAAGTTTCTCCACACCCTATGTTTACCTAGCAGTAAGTGGCAACCCGGTTGTTAGTCGATTGGTGGATCGCTTTCTGAGGGTAATAATCCCTTCAAAAAAATGTGGTCACTCAATCAACGACTGTTTGTGGTACACTGATGTTCAGAATTGTCTGCCACATTTCGCCCACGACATACAGTAAATTCTCTGCTTCTTCCCTTTTCCCCGGCTCGGCCCCGGGATCCGTTACAATGAAGCGCTCTGAGACGCCGTCCGGCGTGACGGGTGCTATATAAATCAAAATTATTGTTGTTGTAAATTCCCTTTATGGTATATTCTGTGAAGCGTTTTGAAAAGTCTCAACACTATATCAAAAGCAAGGATTATTATATTATTATTACCTCTGTGACATTCTCACGACCTACAAATCCACCCTCACATCTGCGCAGCGGACAGTTGGTCTGCTTCACGTCCTCAGCCCTACCAACCCCATCATCAACAGTCAGGTTTCAGCCTATATGCCCCCACTTGTTTGAGATCGATCCCAGAGTACCTACCATTTGCACCTTCCCTCACCTCCTTCAAGGTTCACCTCAAGATCTTTCTCTATGACCACAGCTTCAGTAATACTTTACCCTCTCTCCCCCCCCCCCCGTCACCTCAGACCCCAGGCGCTACATAAATTTGTGGTTGTATTGAAATTGTTGATGCAACAAATGCATGTCCCACAGCAGTCATAAAGTGAATGAACAATTTTATTACGGGGGAGGTGGGGGGGTGCGATTGGGGGAACGGAGATTGTTGGCCAGCACACCGGGAGACATTCCCTTCTCTTTTGAATCTTTAACGTCCACCTGACTAGTCAGACAGGATCTCATCCGACTGACAGCACCTTCGACATTTCAGCGCATAACCAGTACTGCACTGAATTGCCAGCCTGTTTGTGTTAAAAGCTTTGCACATGTTTTCCACAGGAGCTGCCTGAATGTAATGATGGAACATGTCAACCTTCAAACAAAAACAAGATATTTGTAGGTGAAGGAAATTGAAAAGTTTAGAATACAAAACTTGACTCTTGTTGCTGCTAGTAATTGAAAGGATATGAAAAGGATCTCGGAACAGCAGTGGTTTAATTAACACTGTGAGCTATCATGAGAACCGCTCCAACTGTAGAGTAGCAGACAGGAGATGGATTCATAATGACAGCTTTTCCTATAAGATCTGGGAGTGATAATGTCACACATCTCGATCAAAAGAGCAACACGAGCTATGTTTGAAGGAGGATGAGTAATGGATTTCAACACTTTGTATCAACCCTCCATCATTTCATCTCGACTCAACTAAAAAAAGCAGCTGCCAAATTCACACACCTATTATTTGCTAGTCTCTAACTCTTAAATAGGCAAAGTCTGACCCAAAGATCCCATGCGAAAAATACACAAAACCCTTTGTAGCAAAGTACACTTAAATGTTTACGATAAAATTGTGAGATCAATATAAATTCCTATGAAATATTCACAATCTTGTGATGCGTTTTGCAAACAAGACGGGTTTATTTTAATCTTGGGAGTGCTTAATAATGTCAATGTTTTTTTTTTAGCAAACTTGCTTGCCAAATAAAGATATTATATAACGACTATAAATAAGAACAATATAACTTGCAAGGATTGTTTAACATTTTAATTTGTAAGCTTTACTTTTGATGTGAAAGCAGGTTCTTGATAAAAAACAACAAAATTACATTTGTAAAGCGCCTTTCACGTTGGGAGGACGTCTGAAAGGTGCTGGGATGGTCAGTGTTTCGGACCTGAGCTGGGCGTCGGGATCGGGGAGGGTGGAGGGCAGGGGGGGAAGCAGGGAGATCGAAAGCATGGTTGAAGAGGAGGGTCTTGAGATTGGTCTCGAAGAAGGCAAGGGAGTGGGCACGGCGGAGGGATTGCAGGATGAAGTTCCAGAGGATGGGTCAGAGTAGCAGAAGGTCTGCCTGCCAATGGTGGGGCGGGCAAGGCGGGGGATATGAAGCAGGCCAGAGCCCGCTGAGCGGAGGGACCAAGCAGGAGGTTAGGAGGTCATGGAGGTAGGGGGGAGCAAGGCCATGGAAAGCTTTGAAGGTGAGGACCAGGATCTTGAACTGTATCCTCTATGTGATGGGAAGCCAGTGGAGTCGGGCGAGGATGGGGGTGATAAGGTCACGGAGCCTGGAGAGGGAGAGGACACGGGCTGCAGATTTCTGGATGATCTGCAGCCTATGTAGGGAGGAGTTGGAGAGGCCGGTAAAAAATGAGTTTGCATGGTCAAGCCTTGATGTAATGAAAGCATGCATGAAGGTTTCGGCGGCCTGCGGGGCGAGACAGTGTCGGAGTCGGGTCATGTTGCGGAAGTGAGGGAAGGCAGAGCGGTTCATGGCATGGATGCGGGGTAGAAAGGATTGCTGAGCATCCATTGAGCCTGAGGTGAGAAAGCTTGGACAGGAGCCAATCAGGAGGGCCTCGGTCTTATTGACGCTCAACTGATGAAAGTTAGCTCTCATCCAGGACTTGATGTCTCACAAGTGGTCCTGGAGTCAAGGGTGAAGGCAGAGAGGTAGAGTTGGGTGTCAACCGCAAACATGTGGAAGTTGACCACATGTCTATGGATGATGTCACCAGAGGGAGCACATAGATATTGAAGAGGAGGGAACAAGGACAGAGCTTTGAGGAACGCCGCATGAGATGGACCGGGGGCTAGAGGAGAAGCCGTTTGTGGAGATTAAGTGGACGGTGTAACAAGAAGAAGATACA